GGGAACAAATACTATATAACACACAGTGTTAGAGATGTAAGATCAGATCATCTTCCCTGCTGCTCGATGTATGATCTCCAGATGCGCATCTGTGAATAAAAGGTAATTAAGTGCACTTTGGTATTTGTGTGACTGAATATTCTTTCCATCATCTGGACCCGATGAGAAGTGTGGGACTTCGACAACATTTTGAAATAAGACTGGTTTGTATGTCTACTTAGTGGATCCAAGCACACATGCATTATAGAGTACTATTGAAGAAAATTAAAGCATTAGGTCAATGTTTTGAGAAATAAGTTGTTTACTGCATTTTGAACAGGCTGCAAATCCCCCCTGGATTAAGTGGATAATGCTGTTGGATAAGTGTTTGTAAAACTACAGCAGGTGCAAGAAGAGAAAAGTATTCCCAGCAAATGTCATGAAATAAACAGTTTTATTCCACTGGGCTTTTATTTGTCTCAGTGGCAGTGAAGTCAGCTGATCTTTGATTTCCATGATACTGTTCCTATTGCTAACCCCTTCATGAAATATAATAAATGTCAGCTGCTCTAATAACCTGCTCCACTAGTGTTCCTGCTACATATACTGGAAATGTTCTTAAAGGTGGCAGGTGTCACATATCTTGCAGCTAAAACAGATAACAAGCTTCATAATGTTTATTAAACATTTTGGTCAATCTTATCTTCTGTTTTGTTTGCTTTTCTCAGCAAAATACATGTAATTAATTACACAATCAGTGATCAGTGTTTTATTTTACACCTTTCAGGACCTTGATTTCAAAGCAGATGATCTAAAAAAAACAGTAATGAAAGATATGTCAAGAGGGGTTTAAGGATTTCTATAAGAACTGTTCATCCTGAGTGTGTGAAATGGAAAATGACACTATGTTTCACTTTAACTTTACTATGTATGTGAACATAGGATCTTATCGCTATCCAGCCTTTGTAGTGTGCTTCCTGGTGTTTGCCATTATTGTCTCTGCTAATGTTCTTATCATACTGGTAATATCACTGGAAAGAACACTTCATGAGCCAATGTATATGTTTATTGCATTTTTGTCTGTCAACTCTCTGTTTGGCTGTACTGGTTTCTTCCCCAGATTCCTCATAGACCTTCAGTCTGATACTCATTTGATCTCACGTCCTGCTTGTTTTACTCAGATCTATATTATTTACTCTTATGCATTACATGAACTGGCCATTCTGAGCATTATGGCCTATGATAGATATGTTGCTGTGTGTGATCCCTTACATTATCACAGCAAGGTGACCCCTAGGACAGTCTGTAAGTTAGCAGCCTTTGCGTGGATCTGTCCAGCCTTTTCTGTTGCAGTATGTCTTTATTTGGCCATCAGGCTTCCTTTGTGTGGGAACAAGATAGAAAAAAAATACTGTGCCATCTGGAATATTGCTAAACTGTCATGTGTTTCCACTTTTATCAACAATATTGTGGGCTTGGTTGTCATTGCAACTGAAGTCATCCTCCCCCTGATCTTTGTCTTATATACAGTACATACTTTCAAATTATACTTGTGTGCAGGAAAAGTTCATCTGAATTCAAAAGCAAAGTATTCCAAACCTGTTTACCACATATTATTTCATTTGTCAGTTACTCTGTCTCTTTTTTTTGTGATACTGCTTTAAATCGTGTTAATCTTGAAAAACTAAGCCCAGTTTTTGCTGTAGTCGTATCATTGGAGTTTGTAATGATTCCTCCACTTTTGAACCCTCTCATATATGGCCTGAAGTTACCAGAAATTAGAAAAAACATTGTCAGGATGTTGTCGTGTTTAAAATCTCTCCCTTAATTGCTCCATGAGACATTTACTTAAAATTTCTAAAAGTCAGAACTGAATATATTCATATTATGTTGAGTGAGAACTACTTTTAAAACATTAAGGTCTGTCTGAGGCTGTATTCCTAAGGGTCTAAGGTGAAGTTGACAATAAAATATTTGGAAACCCAGGTAATATTTTCAAAGAAGAAACTACCTTTCATAAACACTACCTAACATATTCTCTGTTGTACAGGTAGTATTGTATAATATCTTAGAACAGATATTTAAGGCCTCATCACATTTACTAAAATGTTACTGAAATGATGCTTGGTGGGATCAATAAAGTACCTACTCTTACCCAGCATATGTACTGGTTTCTAGGCAGCATGAATCAAACCTTTAGAGTTTTTCAATATCCAGTATACGCGTATATAAGGCCACTACAGGTCAGGCAAGCTGTTTGTTGACTGATTGATATCAAGTAGACGTAAAGCATTTTTTAATCCTTCCATTGATAGAGGGCTTCTTTATTGAACCCTTTACACTACCACAGAATAGTTTGTCAGTTTTTATTTGTATATTTTTTCATGAACACATTTCTAACCTACGTATGTTGTACAATAGTAGCTTACCATATTTAACTTTATAACAGATCATATAACATTTAAAAAGCCAATTGATTATCTCAAAAGCTTTGTGTACAGTATGAATGTTACGCTGAACAATGTCTGTAGCAAGCACATAAATTACAGCTAACATTACGGTAATCTCCACAGGCAAACAATAGCCAAGGACCGACAAGCTAAGGGTAACGGCTAACAAGAGAAGATCTACTCTATTGTGAGTATGGTACATGAACGAAGCAGACAAGCCCTGTGCAGCTGGTGTAGTATCAACACATACGGAAGTGTCCAAGGAGAGTGAGTCTGTATGAGTTGTGAGACCTGCATCAAGAGAGTGAGCTTGAACAAGCTGTACTGATACTGATGTTCTGAATAGTGCCAGCAGCAGCATGTATAGCTGCAGTAAGCCCCGAAGGTAAAACCTGTCTTTCCTGATACACTGCTTAAAGCTAAACTTTATCACACAGTACTTAATGTGTTTTTAACACTATTTATGGTTGAAATTGTTTAATTTATTGGCTGGTAGTCAGTATGGCATCTTTTAAAAGGTGAATGTTAAAGCCTTTGTCAGTGTCGGGCTTGTGCACAACATATAACTGTTTCTTGTTGTTAGTATTGTGACGACCGCTAGCTCAGTTGAGAGGAGCTGGCCCGACCCTGTCCTATACTGGGACAACTAACTATCCAGCTATGCGCTGGCACCTATGCTGACAGTGAGGAGAACACCTTCTTGGTCTTTTTGGATTTTATTAGACAGAATAGAGAATGCGAAAACAGAACTGCGGTTTACCTGGCACCGTGTGCTCATCAGGAAAATAATGAAAAAAAAAAGTAAAGCAGCACAACAGTAACGACACTCTCTTAGGGCAACCCAAGTTCTGCGCCAACAGAATCTAAACAACACGCCCACCTGTCATCCCTCTTATCTCCTCCCGCACCTGTTCCTCCCCCCATCCCACATTGGCCAGAACAGCACGGCATTTTGCAGAAAACAGCGGTAACCAATACATGAACAGCCTTCAATAACATTGTCAAACCCATTCGCACACAACAGAACACACGAACATCAGCGGCCGGTCAGGGTCGCCACAATATGAAAGCACCAATAATCATTCCTAACAATCACATCAGATATTGACTCAAGCAATTTATGTAATTTTAGTGGAGTGTCAAAATATTTTACCCATGGTGATTTATCACGACTTGAAATTTTAAGTCAAACATTACTTTGACAGTGAAATGTTTGGTCATACTGTAACGTTGCAGTTAATCTGCATGCTCTGTGCCCCCGTGTGTAAACGATAATTTAGTAGTAAGTGACGTTACCAAACATTCTGTGAGCCTAGCTTCAAAGCTGGGTTACCTGACACTTTGGCACATGCAGACCGCTAATTATCTGCAACTCCAAAGGCTAACATCCTCGTTAGGTAACCATCATGGTGACGTTCCAGCGCAGGGCGACAGAGCTCTTTTTATTTTGCAAGATAAATATGCAAACAATATGGAAGTAATCTTAATACAATATTACATTGGAAGCCCAGTACAGTAACTCCGAACTTACCATTACTTTTGACGTTAGATGGCAGCACACTACGTTGCAGCATGTGTGCAGAGGTCTCTTCAGTCTGTCGCCTTCTGATGTAGACAAGTGCGCGAATCAAAAAAGGAGCGCTGGATTTGTGACAGCACACACCGGAGTCACCAGAGTAACCATGCATTTAGTTGTAAAGAACGCAACGAGATACCGTCAGGCCAGCCTTGTTTTAAAACAAACACGTTGGGTGTAGCCAGTACTGAAGGGGTTAAAATAACAAGGTGTGCAGGCGCACAAAGCAAGAGCAAGTCGGGGGGATGGAGAGATGGTCGCAGCGGGGACTGAAAATGTCAGGATCTGTGTATTATATCAGTTCTTATTTATTTATTTTTATTATTGAAACAAAGTAACAAATTTAAAAAAAAAACTGTACCGAACATGGGACACAAGACAACAGATACATGATATTACAAAAGGATATAGAGTGCTTTACAAGATTGTAGTGTGAGAGGTTGTGAAGTGTGGGCATTTGCAACTTTTGCAGTCTATGAAACGCAAGAAAGGGAAAAGGAGGGGAAATAAAAAAAATTACATAAATAAAAAACTACCAATAACAATGTTGATAACGGTACTACTAATAAAATAAGCTTGTTAAATTTTTAGAGGTTGGTGGGAATGTGTGTGGTGCTGGAACCAGTTCTTGTTACCATGCTAACTCTGAGAGACGAGGCAGTCCAAGTAACTTCAAAACAGTGCTGATTTATTCAAAGGATCACAGGTAAAATTAACATTACACGCTCAGATATCTTGCACCTCCAAACTGCACGCAGGCAGACATAAGATGAAAGACCCCGAGCCCACCAGGCCTATACATTTTTATCACTTCGATTGGGCTAGCCCCATACTACACAGAAACGTCGACCAGGACGTCTCTCTCACCAGCTTTGCAGCTGGCTCTAGCATTAGTCAAAACATGAAGCAAATCAACGTGTGAATGTGTATGTCTGTTGGTTAAGTGGTGTGTAGCTAAAAACATTCTCACGACCTCTAATACATGTCGTGACTTGAACATAGGGACATTATGGCTAAGTCTACAGTTATACACATCGTAATAATAATATTGGACACCCTGTCAGCAGACAGTCATCAACTTCTCTCTGGTATCCTTGACCAGATGTACCCTGCAGCAACTCATATGCAGGCCTAAGCATTTAACAATCTAACTAGACATCCTATCTCCACTAAACATTTCTAATACATAAAGTATCTATCCAATATCTATCTGACTAAAAATATCTAACAAGAGTAAGATAGCGTGACATCAATCTGAAACAAACCTGTATTCGTCCCCGGGCTCTCTTTG